ACACACACACACACACACACACACACACACACACACACACACACACACACACACACACACACACACACACTGACCAGTGAGGCCAGGCACAAAAGCTACTCTCCTGTGTACAATGGGATCATTGTTGGATTCCTGCACCGCCTCTCCTCTCTCTCACACAGTCACCACCCCACACTTGTYTACTACTATTCAACTGTTCAAACACAACTTTCACACACATAAACACAGTTTGAGGTGTTCCATAGTACAGCTCTGATGTCATGAATGTACCAGGAATATTCATGTTTACCCCCTAAGGAGGCTTCRTCATTTTTTTCTTGAAGAGTTTTTTTCCCTGTACGTACAGAATACCAGCGTCGACCCCCTCTCCCATCYGCACACACCTTCTCAGTATCTTCTTTCTTGACAGACTTGAGATTGGCCCGCAGGTCCATGGACACTTTGTGCTTGGAGCCCAGCAGCGAGCGCAGGATGGCGTCGGCRGACACACGAACGCGCCGAAGATTAGGCCTCTTGAATTTCCCCCTGAGGTCCAGCACCTTGATGTTCAGGTCTTTAATCTGGTCCGGCGACGGAGAAACATTGAGAGACGCTTCCTGTCAGCGCTGAAAGTGAGCGGGAAGAACGATGCGCGCTCTCTCACCTCGCGTGTGTTGAGCGTGACTTTGGCTTCGATGTCATATCGCTCCTCGTCCACCACGTCTATCTTGGAGTGGAGTTCTCGACAGAGATCCTAAACACAAAGTYAAACATCAAGGCTAATATTTTGTAMGATATTATTTGGGATTCTTTTGTTTAGTTAAAGTGATAGTTTGGTTCTGTGAAAAGGATTCAAACAAATAATAATTGACCTGTTATAGACACCTCAGATTGGAGAAATAAAGTTTGTTTTTGAACCAGTTTGACAAGCTAACAGCTAGCTGAAGCAGGGCCAAAACCAAAATTAGATGGGGGGTGGGGGGGCACCTTGTTTGGGTTTGGTTTTAAAGACTTTGACTGCGTCAAAATAAAATGAAATGAAATGAAACCAAAACATTGCAGTTCCACTTTATTTAACACCAAGTGAATGATTTAGATGCGAAATGGAAAGATTTAAAAACACAATAAGTCCACTTTCAACCAGTCCTCATCTTAATATTTGCTTGTGCTTCATGAAAATCACTGTCAGTTTAGCTCATTGCTTTTTTATTACATCCAATTAAGTGATTATTTGTGGTTGTGTAAATAATGGAAGCAGGATTGTGTGCATTTCCAGTGCAACCTGGGGCATTCTGTTAGAAATTTTATACAGTTTTTCACAGAATAATAATTTAAAAAGTGACAAAAATATGAAGCTTTTTTTTTTAAATGCTTATTTTTAATTACTGATATAGCTAATTACTGACTTTTGGCCCTGCTTGAGTTAGCCTTTAGCTCATGGGGTGTCCAATCCTGATCCCCAAGTCCCACTGTCCTGCACAATTAAGAGGTTTCTCTKTTCCAACACACCTGATTCAAATAAATGTGTGATTGGGAGGCCTCTGCAGAACTTAAAAAAGGTGATTTAATTACTGAATCGGGTGTGTTGAAACAGGCAGGAACAGATAAAAAAGGAGCAACYTTCCAGCTATTAAGAAGTGAAACGACTTGAACAGGGAGTTTAGAGAGACACCTGCAGCTGAGCGAGGCTGAGGCCACTGGTGTTCAGAGGAGGAGCTTTCTCTGCGAGATACTTCTGTTTCTCCCCTTCTTTGATGAGGATTTCTTGTTCTAGTTCCTCTTTGGCTTTTGCCACCATCAGACTCTGAACAAACAAACCATCAGGATGGTTGAAATGAAGTTATTTGTTCATCTCTATTGCTCTCTGGTGGTCATATCTGGGTACTACATGATAGAGAGGCAAAAGAAACAAGTTGACCAAACGTCTCACCTTCAGCATCAGCTTCCTTGAGGCTGATATCTTTGATTTTCTCTGTATAAACAGAATATTATCAACACAAACATCATATGAGACATAATATTCTGGATTTGGTGCAACAAGCGAAGGATTAGAYCTTAAAATAAACTTACCTCTTGCCTGTAAAAGAAAATGTACATAATTTAATAATAAGGTCAAATATAGGCAAACATGTTTATTTTCTGTCTCTGTGGTGCCAAGTGGCCCCTTATCTGAGTGTATATTTAAGAAAACAAAGCCTAATCACTCACACATGCTCAGGCATTCTGCTGATGAGATCCCACTGGAGGAGACACAGAAGGAATTAGAAACACACACTTCACACACTGACACACACACACTTAACAGTTGCCATTGTTCATCTACCAGCCCGCCTCATTTGTCTGCTCTCCTGATGCTTGAATGTGGAGCAGATGCTGATTACACAMGAAGCTACACAGTCCCTCTGAACTTCATGACTGACAGACGTAAACAAGATTATTGAGGAAAATCACTGAGCAGCAGGTGAAAATAAACTGCAGTTTGACCGCGAATACCAAATGTTATTGCGAGTAAATCAAAGAAATAAAGCTTAAAAGATAAAAGCTCAAACAAATAAAATCAGGGTTTGTTTCTGTTTTTTCTTTTAGAGGCCCAAAATTGCAAATGAAGCTGAGGTGTCATGATTATCAATGTTCTGATTAATCGAAACCATGGTGCCCCGAGAAGCCTGCTGGGAATCAGAATGAAGCAGCTGAAAACCTGCTTGTTTGTGAACAAGTCACTGTGTGGTAATACATTAACTGTGTCCAGTTATTGCCTCAGACATTTTAAGGAAATTAAAAAAAAAACGTTGTTGTTACTACTCTGACAGAGATCCAGATTGCAAGACTGCTTAAACCATACAAAACCAAATTATGATTGAGCAAACAAAACTCTGAGCTGTCAATCTTTGAGTCTTTTGTTTGGCTATTAAGGTTTAAAATGCAGCATAATAAAAATGCAATAGTAGAACAAATGGAAGAAAAATACATGTTCATTAGATACATTAAAAAGGAACAAATAATACATACCTAAACTGAAATTTATTACTAGAATGAATGTGATAATACTTGCTTGAATTAATGTGATGCTGTGATGACTGAAACTGTATTTCCCATTGTTTTTTTCCTAAATTGGCACTACAGAGACTGTCATTTTGATTGTGATCAATAAAAAAAGCTCCAAAGCAGAAAGATGATTTATTTTTTTACTTTATTTTTTTTCTGGCATCTCTAAAATAACAAAGCAGAGGTGTAAAGTGACAACGTACAAGTTCTTCATTACTTAACGTAAGTAAAAACGTTGGTAATCTATGCATTTCTAGAGTAATTATTTTTCGGACACCTTACGTTTTAGCCTTGTTACTCCTTTTTCACTTTGACTTGCTTTCATTTCAGTTTATTTGTAAAAATAATCTTTATGCTTACTTTTACTCAAAATTTTAGAAATTTCCTTTTGTACAGAAAAATGTCAGATACTTTAAGATTTTTACTAAAATATTAACTTTAATGTCTCTTTCTGGTAACTTTCACTCGAGTATCACTTTGAGGTACTTTATTCAAGACGTTTCATTCTGTCTCCTGTTGTATCTCCTCTCTCACTGCTCTTTCTCATAAACACCAGCTTCCTTCTCCTGATCTAACCCCGTCTCCCTCACCCCACTTTTTTTACACTGCAGTCTGAATCACGAATGACGACCCATAAAACCTCCTCATATAATGAAGTTGCAAGCCCCTCCAGTGGATTTGGAAAATTCCAGAGTGACAGCCATCCGTCATTCACCTCTCATCCCCTTCATCCCCATCTTTCTCCTCAGGATTATCTGCATTAGAGGAATTTGGAGTGGCCTGTCTCCCCAAATAGATCAGACAGCTGTGAGGGCTGTTTGTGCTCTGGTGCWGCCCAGTATGGATCAGAGAGTTACCACTAACTCTTGCGGGGGCTTTGCGGCGCAGCCAGTTTTGGCAGAAACTCTGAACTGTTTTGGAAAAATTGCATCAACCTGAATTGGACTGCTTTTAGGGCTGGAAAGCATTTAGACAAAATTTAATCCACTGAAGGCAGTTTTTTTTAAATTTTTAAATTTTTATTTTTTTGGGTTAGGAAGTATTCTCATCTACACAGACTTTTAAAAGAAATTGGGCTATTAAAAGTATCAGATAAGTTTGTCTCCTGTAAAATTTGCTCAACATCACAACTTGAAAAAAAAAAACAACAACAACAACAACAAAAAAAAAAAGCCAAACTTGTGCAGGTTTACTTCTTCAAAAATAACCTCATTTCATATTTTCAGTTTATGAAAAACTTCTACAATAGATTACGTTATATCAAGAGAATTTCAAGGTTAAAAAAATAAAAATAGTTCCACAAAGGACCTTACCTGTGTTTGAGAAAGAGTTGCCCCCACAGCAGAGGATGGACAAACCAATGAGCCCTATGATTCTGTACCCTTCTATTTATCTGTGCCACCCACTGTCTGCCTCCTTTGTTTTTGGCTACAGTGGAGGCTATTAATAGATTAAGACCATTTCTGGAGGATAATCTACTCTGTTGAATTGTCTCTTATAGATTTAATCCAGGAGCAAGCATTTAATACCTGAAGTCCTAAACCTTCAACTCACAGAGAAATAAAAACAATAAGAAATAACTTGGAAAATCTTTGCAACAATTAGATTGTATCAGTTGCTTAAATTCTTCGATAATTTATTCAAATATATTTCGTTCTTGAACACGAACCTTCACTTTCTTTTTAGGTTCCAAAGTGATGACCTTACAGTGCCTGTGACATCAATATTTTTTATAACAAACATGAATGCATTTTTTGAAGGACAATCTTAATTTATTGCAAGAAAAATTTAATGCATGAGATGTAAGAAATCACTCGATTATGAGGATTCAACCTTCTGAGACCAAGGTCAAAGACAGGTGGAACTGTTTATTCCACCTCGAGGTGACCACTACAGATGAACAGTTGAGATATTTGCATTTAAAGTAACAGGAAGTGATGTCAAAGGGGATAGTCTGCATGYTAACAAAACAATGCTACAACGGCCAACAGCAAAAACTAGAGAAGAATCAGATGTTTCCTTAGATTATTTTGAGTCACAATCAGAGAGAGATGAAGAAGAGTCAAATTTCAAATAAWATTGTTTCAATGAACAAAGACCAGGGAGTTTTCTAACATAAAGTTTCCCTTTGATGTCACTTCCTGTTTCGCTTCGAAAGAAAATATGCCTCTTATGTTACAAAATGGGTTAAATCGTGTATTATGTCAATTTTCTTAAAAATAAGGATGTTTTCTTTGACTTTTAATATTTGAAAACTATTTATGTCACAGGCACTTTAGATTGTGTCTTGTTTGAATAAAATGAGGCATAAAACAGAAATTATGGAGACTGAGGTTTGTGTTCTGAGGAAAACAAAAGGTTTCCACTATAAATTTKCTTTCAATTTTGTTATTAGTTTTGTTAATACAGTTGTGTCCCTCTCCACATAAATGTTTATTTCAGATCTATTTTACTAAATGAGACCAAGCTCACTTCCCACTATGTACATACTTCATCAGTACATGTTTTAATACTGAGAGGATGTTGTGTGTCTGATCCTTTAGGAGCTTTTAGAGCCAGGGATTTACTGAGCTATTAAGGGTGCTGAGATGCATCAGGACATTAAGGGTTATTATTCTTTTTTTAAATTAACTAAGAATTTTTCCATCACAGCATTAGCCTTAGCATGAGGCTAATTTGTTGTTCTGAGATTTTGTCAAATTATCACAATGAAGAGTCAAAAGGATGCCCTGACAAAAGACAGCAGGGACATTTAGGTAGATATTAAACTGTTTTAGAAACATCCAGATGGAAAATAATGCTATTTGATGCAAATTATATCCCCTATCTACCTATTATTTATGTCAGTTTTGTGTTTTATTTGGAGAAAAATGAAACTACATCTTTACACATCCTTTAATTCCCCAATGTAATAATAATAATAATAATAATAATAATAATAATAATAATAAT